CATCCCGTCTCATAGGCCCGATGATGTCCTCTCTCCAACCGCATCCCGTCTCATAGGCCCGATGATGTCCTCTCTCCAACCGCATCCCGTCTCATAGGCCCGATGATGTCCTCTCTCCAACCGCATCCCGTCTCATAGGCCCGATGATGTCCTCTCTCCAACCGCATCCCGTCTCATAGGCCCGATGATGTCCTCTCTCCAACCGCATCCCGTCTCATAGGCCCGATGATGTCCTCTCTCCAACCGCATCCCGTCTCATAGGCCCGATGATGTCCTCTCTCCAACCGCATCCCGTCTCATAGGCCCGATGATGTCCTCTCTCCAACCGCATCCCGTCTCATAGGCCCGATGATGTCCTCTCTCCAACCGCATCCCGTCTCATAGGCCCGATGATGTCCTCTCTCCAACCGCATCCCGTCTCATAGGCCCGATGATGTCCTCTCTCCAACCGCATCCCGTCTCATAGGCCCGATGATGTCCTCTCTCCAACCGCATCCCGTCTCATAGGCCCGATGATGTCCTCTCTCCAACCGCATCCCGTCTCATAGGCCCGATGATGTCCTCTCTCCAACCGCATCCCGTCTCATAGGCCCGATGATGTCCTCTCTCCAACCGCATCCCGTCTCATAGGCCCGATGATGTCCTCTCTCCAACCGCATCCCGTCCCATAGGCCCGATGATGTCCTCTCTCCAACCGCATCCCGTCTCATAGGCCCGATGATGTCCTCTCTCCAACCGCATCCCGTCTCATAGGCCCGATGATGTCCTCTCTCCAACCGCATCCCGTCCCATAGGCCCGATGATGTCCTCTCTCCAACCGCATCCCGTCCCATAGGCCCGATGATGTCCTCTCTCCAACCGCATCCCGTCCCATAGGCCCGATGATGTCCTCTCTCCAACCGCATCCCGTCCCATAGGCCCGATGATGTCCTCTCTCCAACCGCATCCCGTCCCATAGGCCCGATGATGTCCTCTCTCCAACCGCATCCCGTCCCATAGGCCCGATGATGTCCTCTCTCCAACCGCATCCCGTCCCATAGGCCCGATGATGTCCTCTCTCCAACCGCATCCCGTCCCATAGGCCCGATGATGTCCTCTCTCCAACCGCATCCCGTCCCATAGGCCCGATGATGTCCTCTCTCCAACCGCATCCCGTCCCATAGGCCCGATGATGTCCTCTCTCCAACCGCATCCCGTCCCATAGGCCCGATGATGTCCTCTCTCCAACCGCATCCCGTCCCATAGGCCCGATGATGTCCTCTCTCCAACCGCATCCCGTCCCATAGGCCCGATGATGTCCTCTCTCCAACCGCATCCCGTCCCATAGGCCCGATGATGTCCTCTCTCCAACCGCATCCCGTCCCATAGGCCCGATGATGTCCTCTCTCCAACCGCATCCCGTCCCATAGGCCCGATGATGTCCTCTCTCCAACCGCATCCCGTCCCATAGGCCCGATGATGTCCTCTCTCCAACCGCATCCCGTCCCATAGGCCCGATGATGTCCTCTCTCCAACCGCATCCCGTCCCATAGGCCCGATGATGTCCTCTCTCCAACCGCATCCCGTCCCATAGGCCCGATGATGTCCTCTCTCCAACCGCATCCCGTCCCATAGGCCCGATGATGTCCTCTCTCCAACCGCATCCCGTCCCATAGGCCCGATGATGTCCTCTCTCCAACCGCATCCCGTCCCATAGGCCCGATGATGTCCTCTCTCCAACCGCATCCCGTCCCATAGGCCCGATGATGTCCTCTCTCCAACCGCATCCCGTCCCATAGGCCCGATGATGTCCTCTCTCCAACCGCATCCCGTCCCATAGGCCCGATGATGTCCTCTCTCCAACCGCATCCCGTCCCATAGGCCCGATGATGTCCTCTCTCCAACCGCATCCCGTCCCATAGGCCCGATGATGTCCTCTCTCCAACCGCATCCCGTCCCATAGGCCCGATGATGTCCTCTCTCCAACCGCATCCCGTCCCATAGGCCCGATGATGTCCTCTCTCCAACCGCATCCCGTCCCATAGGCCCGATGATGTCCTCTCTCCAACCGCATCCCGTCTCATAGGCCCGATGATGTCCTCTCTCCAACCGCATCCCGTCCCATAGGCCCGATGATGTCCTCTCTCCAACCGCATCCCGTCTCATAGGCCCGATGATGTCCTCTCTCCAACCGCATCCCGTCTCATAGGCCCGATGATGTCCTCTCTCCAACCGCATCCCGTCTCATAGGCCCGATGATGTCCTCTCTCCAACCGCATCCCGTCTCATAGGCCCGATGATGTCCTCTCTCCAACCGCATCCCGTCTCATAGGCCCGATGATGTCCTCTCTCCAACCGCATCCCGTCTCATAGGCCCGATGATGTCCTCTCTCCAACCGCATCCCGTCTCATAGGCCCGATGATGTCCTCTCTCCAACCGCATCCCGTCTCATAGGCCCGATGATGTCCTCTCTCCAACCGCATCCCGTCTCATAGGCCCGATGATGTCCTCTCTCCAACCGCATCCCGTCTCATAGGCCCGATGTCCTCTCTCCAACCGCATCCCGTCTCATAGGCCCGATGATGTCCTCTCTCCAACCGCATCCCGTCTCATAGGCCCGATGATGTCCTCTCTCCAACCGCATCCCGTCTCATAGGCCCGATGTCCTCTCTCCAACCGCATCCCGTCTCATAGGCCCGATGATGTCCTCTCTCCAACCGCATCCCGTCTCATAGGCCCGATGATGTCCTCTCTCCAACCGCATCCCGTCTCATAGGCCCGATGATGTCCTCTCTCCAACCGCATCCCGTCTCATAGGCCCGATGATGTCCTCTCTCCAACCGCATCCCGTCTCATAGGCCCGATGATGTCCTCTCTCCAACCGCATCCCGTCTCATAGGCCCGATGATGTCCTCTCTCCAACCGCATCCCGTCTCATAGGCCCGATGTCCTCTCTCCAACCGCATCCCGTCTCATAGGCCCGATGATGTCCTCTCTCCAACCGCATCCCGTCTCATAGGCCCGATGTCCTCTCTCCAACCGCATCCCGTCTCATAGGCCCGATGTCCTCTCTCCAACCGCATCCCGTCTCATAGGCCCGATGTCCTCTCTCCAACCGCATCCCGTCTCATAGGCCCGATGTCCTCTCTCCAACCGCATCCCGTCTCATAGGCCCGATGTCCTCTCTCCAACCGCATCCCGTCTCATAGGCCCGATGTCCTCTCTCCAACCGCATCCCGTCTCATAGGCCCGATGTCCTCTCTCCAACCGCATCCCGTCTCATAGGCCCGATGTCCTCTCTCCAACCGCATCCCGTCTCATAGGCCCGATGTCCTCTCTCCAACCGCATCCCGTCTCATAGGCCCGATGTCCTCTCTCCAACCGCATCCCGTCTCATAGGCCCGATGTCCTCTCTCCAACCGCATCCCGTCTCATAGGCCCGATGTCCTCTCTCCAACCGCATCCCGTCTCATAGGCCCGATGTCCTCTCTCCAACCGCATCCCGTCTCATAGGCCCGATGTCCTCTCTCCAACCGCATCCCGTCTCATAGGCCCGATGTCCTCTCTCCAACCGCATCTCGTCTCATAGGCCCGATGTCTCACTCTCCTGATTCCCCCTCTCTCCCAGCCTCGTTTACTCTTTCTGCTGTTGCTGCCGCATGCCGCAACTACGTGAGGAATGGGAAGGGACAACGCAGGAGCGCAATGCGGGGGGATAGAAGAACCAGGCGATCATCTATGACATCGAGGTGAGTCACCCCACTCTCACCCACTCACACACACACACTCCACACCACACCACAGCTTACCGCACTCATCGCCGCAATCATCTATGACGTCGTGGTAAGTGAAACTGTGAGGCCACTGTTACACACACACGCTGTTACCACAGCTCTCACTTCCATCTCCCTCCTCCCCACTCACTCACTCTCCCAGCCACTTCACCACCCTCTCCTCCCTCTCTCACACCTCCCGCCCCTGCTCCCTTCTAGGTGGAAGGCGTGGGCGCCTTTGAATTTGAACTCAGGACCTTTCTGGTAACAGGGCAAATATTAAACAGCTACGCCAGTAGTACTGGCCACAACGTTCAAGTTAAATTCCTACACTAATAATTCAGCATAAAATAAACCCCCAATGCTGATTTGGTCACGACTTTGGGCAGGGCACGCTGATCCATCAGCATGCCCTGAAACCAATCTGAGGGCCTGATAAGAAAACACCCATATAAAGGCAACCCTGTGTTTAATTCAACCTATCTTATATCCATGGGATGAGGGTGGTACAGATTTACCCATCTGGGTGCAATGCGTTCATCCCATATTACCGTATTAACACAACACCTGGGGTTGTTTATCCGGAGTACGGTAGTTTCTAGAATTAGTTTGACTACCTGTAGTGGGCTCTACTCTACCATTTAAATATTGCTGCATGCTTGCTCAGTCATTGTTGCACCAAGCCTATCCCTGGTGGTAATCATACGTGTTAGAGAGAACAGTGCAGCCGCAGTCGAAAGGGGGGCATGCATAAATACGCAGACAGGTGAGCGCTTGATTCATGGAGGTGCCCTGCAAGTGGCACAACTAGCAGTGGTGGCGCACGGCACGAGCTCCGCAGCACGGAGGGGAGGGGGGGGGGGGGGGGGGGGGGGGGGGGGGGGTGGTGCGGACATGGTGGGCGGCGGCATGCAATGGGGTGGGCGACATGGTGAGGGATGGGGTGGGGGATGCGGGAGGCGATGCGCTAGGGGGCGACCAAGGGTGCGAAGCGGGCATCCCTGGGCGTGTCGGGCACCTGCACGAATGGCAGCGTGAGCAGCTGCACAGAGAGAGCACACAGAGAGAGAGAGAGAGAGAGAGAGAGAGAGAGAGAGAGAGAGAGAGAGAGAGAGAGAGAGAGAGAGAGAGAGAGAGAGAGAGAGAGAGGAGGCACAGGCATGGGGGAGCGTGCGAGTTGGTGAGGGTAGGTGGTCCATGTGGTAGCAAGTGTGTGTGCCTGGCACGCGGAATGACTGTGGCGTGTGTTATGCAAGGAGAGAGAGGAGGACGGAAGGTGAGTGGGACGTGCTGTGGGGCATGGACTGGCAAGAGGGTGTTGCAGCATGGGGGCATGCGTGCAGCAGGGGGGCATGCGTGCAGCATGGGGGCATGCGTGCAGCATGGGGGCAGGGGTGCAGCATGGGGGCATGCGTGCAGCATGGGGGCATGCGTGCAGCATGGGGGCAGGGGTGCAGCAGGGGGGCAGGGGTGCAGCAGGGGGGCATGCGTGCAGCATGGGGGCATGCGTGCAGCATGGGGGCAGGGGTGCAGCAGGGGGGCAGGGGTGCAGCAGGGGGGCATGCCTGCAGCATGGGGGCATGCGTGCAGCATGGGGACATGCGTGCAGCATGGGGGCATGCGCGCAGCATGGGGGCATGCGCGCAGCATGGGGGCATGCACGCAGCACACAGGGCGGACAGAGGCAGCCTTGCTGCAGCGATACGAGCGGACCAGAGAGAATGGGCAGAGAGAGGCAGTGGCAGCATGGCGCTCATGGCAGCATGGCGCTCATGGCAGCATGGCGCTCATGGCAGCATGGCTCACATGGCAGCATGGCAGCACATAACAGTGTGGCTCACATCGGAGGCGGAGGGGCGCTGGTTGGGGTCGAGCTGGAAGCACGCGGTGAGGAAGTCGCTGGCCTCGGCAGACACGCCCTCGGGGATGGGCGGGCCCGTGGTGGTCTTGGCGATGTGGAATATGGCCGACCACGTGTTGTCCATCCCCGGCCATGGGTGCCTGCCGCCCCCTCCACGCCCGACGCCCCATGCCCCATGCCCCATGCCCCATGCCAACATGCAAGCAGGAGGTCAGTGTGAGCATGAGGCAAGCGCAAGGGAGGCAAAAGGTGGCAACAGGACGAGAGAACGGGACGGGGGAACGGGGCCTTCACTCAGCTTCACCACCTGATACCCATGTCAATGACTCACCACCTTGTCAGCATCTCGATGACTCACCGCCCCGTCAGCATCTCAATGACGGTGCAGCCAACGCTCCAGATGTCAGCGCGGCGGCCGTACCCCTCGCCCTTGATGACCTCGGGGGCCATCCAGAACACGGACCCGCGGATGCTCTTGCACCCCTCGCCCACCGTGCCCTCGTGGAAACTCTGCGCGCCAAGAGAGGTGGTGATCATGGGGAGAGAGATGGAGGGGAGGGGCGAAAGGGGCAAGGGCCGAGGGGCACGGGTCATGTGATGTGTATCCATCCACATCTCCCCACCCTTCCTTGCACCTGTTCCCTGCCCCCGCCTTGCACACCCCCCTCTTCTTCATTCCACCTCCACACCCTTTTTCCCCAATCCCACCGACGTCCCCACGTCACGCGTCACCTCACCCCCCCTCACCCCCCCTCACCCCGGTGGGCTGACCTTGGAGGCGCCGAAGTCGGCGAGCTTGATGACGCCGTCGCGGTCGACGAGCACGTTGCCGCCCTTGATGTCGCGGTGCACGATGCGGCACGCGTGCAGGTACTCCAGCCCCAGCAGCAGCTGCCGCGTGTACACCCGCACCAGCGACTCGCTGAACGCCCCAAACTTCTCCAACATGCTGCCGGGGGGGGTGGAGGGGGAGGGGAAGACGGAGGGGAAGACGGAGGGGAGGGGGGAAGGGAAGAGGAATGAGGGAAAGCAGGCGAGAGGAAGAAGTAAGCGTTGGCATGAAGCCTTGGTGACAACAAGACATGAAGCTCAGCTTGTTTGCAAGCCACAAGCAGTACCCCCACCTGTGCATGCACGCCCACCTGTGGATGGAGCCGCCGGAGACGAATTCAAGGAAGATGTAGATGGAGCCATCAGCCTCGTGCTTCTCCATGTCGATGTACCCCACTATGTGGCGGTGCCGCATCTTCTTGTACAGCACGATCTCCCGCTCCAGTGCTGCGATGAGCATCGCCTTCTCGTCGCCCTGCGTCGTCATCTTGATCTCCTTCACCGCCATCAGCTCGCCCGTCATCTCGTTCAGCCCCAGAAACACCTGCCCGCCCCACCCCACCACACCACGCCACACCGCAGCGCAACACAACGCAGATTCAGTTCTACTCTATCGGCGATCGTGTTTCCTCCGTCTCTAAGAAAATTCGTTCCGATTTCTGACAGACTCGTCAATGAGCCTTGACAGACTTGTCAGGCATTGGTCACTTTCTTGGAGATGGGTGAGGATATGGCAAATGGCAAGGAGTGGCATTGTGGCGGCAAGTACGAGCAGGGTCACAGACCGGTTCCTCCCGAGTCACTTCCAGTCTGACTAGGTGTGAGCAGAACAGCCATCGCACGTGGTGGGCTGAGACTTTGCCACCAGTTGATCACATACCAACGCCGCTCATGTCGTCCCCGCCATAGGTCACTCATCGACACATATGACTCTTGGACAGAAGAAAAGGACATGGGTGTTCACAAAGCAATCGTTTTCTGTAACACCTCGGCACACTCTTCCCCGCCTTGCCGTATGCACTCACCTTGCCGTATGCACTCACCTTGCCGTATGCACTCACCTTGCCGTATGCACCTTCGCCCAGCATCTCGCCCTTCTTCCACTTGAACGACGCCGCTGCACATGCCGCCTCCACAGCACCCGGAGCAGAGGCAGCGGTGGGGGTGGAGGGGGATGGGGTGGAGGAGGGAGGGGTGAGAGGGGAGGTGGGAGCAGCGGCCTTGGGAGAGGCAGCGGGGTCTGTCGTTTTGGATTCAAGGGCAGGGGAGGCCGGAGCAGGTGATGCAGCAGCTCCTTCCCTGTTGCCCGCACTTGATGCTTCGTCTCCACTCGCGTCCACACGCCCTGCCTTGGCATCCGCGCCCTCCCGTGCCTCCACGGGTTTGGGAGACAGCGGCGGCCGCACAGCACCCTTCTTCTCCCCTTCGCCGCCCCTCCCCACCTTCCCCTCTGCTGATGGTTCCCTCCCTCCCTGCTCTCCCCCACCTGCCTCCTCCCCACTGCCACTCCTCTCCACCCCATTCGCTGCACCCGGACTCTCCCCGTGTGCTGTGTCGCTGGGCGGGGTGCCGCCATGAGCGGGCAGCGAGAACTTCACGGACTTGCGTGCACGCGTGGGTTGAGCGGTGGAGGTGGGGTGAGCAGCTTGGGAGGGAGATGGAGACGCGCCTGCCACAGCAGCAGCAGCAGCAGCAGCAACAGCAGCTGTGCTGCCCTCGCTGCCCTCAACGCCAGCACTCAAGGCAGCAGCAGCAGAAGCACCACCGCCACCACTACTACTGCCAGCACCAGTGGCCCCAGCAGCAGCGGGTGCAGCAGTGGGAGCAGCAGTGCGAGCAGCAGCGCCACGTGTGCTGCCAGCCCTCTCTCCCTTGCCTCCGCCACTGCCAGGCCTCTCCGCCCTCCCCCCTGCGCTGCCAGGCCTCTCCCCTTTGCCCCTCGCACCTGCCCCTGTCGCTGCTCCCACCACAGCTGGTGCTGCCGACGCACCCTCTGCTCGCCCTGACGCCTCCCCGCCACCACCCGGCACAGCGGAGGCGAGGCGGCGCAGGGAGGAGGGGGTGGGGCGAGGGCCCCTGGCGGCGTGCATGCTCTCATCGTCCGTCACCACCTCCCTGCCGCCGCCAACGCGCTGCCCCCCCCCTCCCCCCGCCGCTCCTGCCGCACCCTCCTCTGCCACTGCTGCGCCCGCCCCTCCCCTGCTGCCGCGCGATGCAATGCTGTCAGGCGGAGGGCACGCGGACGCTGCAGCGGCGCCGGGGGCGGAGGGGCGCAGGCCCGGGCGGCGCTGCTGGCGGGCGCGCAGAGACACCTCGGTGTCGCTGCACGGCCAGTCACCCCCCTCCCCCCCCTGCTGCTGCCGCCGCCGCCCTTCGCCCTGCCCCGCCTTGCCGTGCTGCTGCTGCCCGCCCTCCCCCCCGCTGCCACTGCCACTGCCCGGCCTGCCGCGGCCTTCCAGTGCGTGGCGGCGCAGGTGGGGGAGGGAGGAGGGCGGCGAGGTGGCAGAGGGGGACGTCAGCGGCGAGGAGGACGCCGCCAGGGGGGAGCGCGGGCCGGCCAACAGTGCCGCCTCCCCCACCGCGTCACTGCTGCCCACCCGCCTCACTCCCCCTGATCCCTGCCCTCCCCTCCCACCCGTCCCAGCCCCACCAGCAGCACCGGCAGCACTAGCAGCAGCAGCAGGCGGTGGGTCAGCGCCCCCCAGGCGTGTGGGTGGAGGCGCTGGTTTCCCCCCCGCCCTCTCCTCCTGCGATGTGCCCCTCCCCACCACCCGCCTGCCCGCCCCCCTCGCTGCGTCCCTGCGCCCCGCGCCCCCATGCTCGCCCCCATGCTCACCGCGGTCACTCTCCGACTGAGACGACTCCGCCATCCACCCCTCTGCACCCTCTCCACTCACCATATCCCCGCTGCTGCCCCCTCTCTCCTTCCCACTTCCCCCTCTCTCCTTTCCACTTCCCCCTCTCTCCTTCCCACTTCCCAATCTTTCCTTCCCACTTCCCTCTCTCTCCTTCCCACTGCCCTCTCTCGCCCTCCCTCTGTTCGTATCCAACCCCCCAGGCTGTGCTGCGCGTGCTCCTCCCTCGCTGCACCTTTCTCCTCCCCCATCACTCCCGGACTTCTCACCCCCATGCCTCTCCTCATCTCCCCCACTCACCGCCCCTCTCTGCTGCACGCCCTGTCTGCCGCTGCCAGAGGGGCTTTTCATGCCACTGTCACCGCGCACAGCTCCCTCGCCACCCATGCCACCGCGCTCCACCACATCGCCCGCACTCATAGCCTGTGCACTCAGTGACTGTGTGCGCACCATCCCTCCCCGCCGCCCCCCACCCTCCGCCCCTCTCCCTCGCCCCTCCACCCCACCCCTCCCCCCCCCACCCCCCCTGGCCGTCCCACCAGCGCCCCTGCCAGCGGCCCGCCCCAGGCGTGACTCGCCTGCACCGCCGCCATCGCTCACCATGCCACCCACACTGCTGCTCCCCGGTACTCTCGCCCGCCGCAACCGCACTGCACCACCCTCCACATCTGACATCACCTCGCCATGCCCCGCCACCAGCCCCCCTCCCACTCCCCCTACCCTTCTCCCCGCTGCCCTCCCTCCCCCCCCTCTCCCCCCGCCCTCGCCCCCCTCACCACTGCCCCCATGGCGCCTGCCCGCCACTGCCCCTGCTGCCACGGCCCTGTCAGCAGCGCCATCCAGTGCGCGCCCCGCCAGGCTGCCCCCAACCCTCCTCCCTGCTGCGCCCATCCCTCCCCCTCCACCCGCGCCTCTGAGCCCTCCCGCGCCCCCAACGCCGCCTGCACCCACCACCCTGGCGGCGGCGCCGTCCGCCTCTGCAGCGTGGCGGGTGGGGGAGGCAGCGGAGCGCGAGGAGGGCAGCGGCGAGGGCGAGAGGGCGGGGGACGCGGCGGGGCTGTCAGTGCCGCCCACGCGGCGGGCGCTCTCCCACGCCGCCGACAACAGCTGCTCGTGGCCCTCCAAGGGGGTGGGGCTGCGCGCACGCTGCCCAGGCAGGCCGTGGCTGCGAGTGGGGCTGCGGAAGCTCATGGTGCGCGCGGGCAGCCCCGTGGGCTGGGCGGCAGCGGACGAGAAGGAGGAGGGCGGCGCAGCGTGGTGGTGGGCGGCGGGGCGCAGGCGGTCGCGCGAAGGGCTGCGGAAGGACATGGAGCGGGCGGGCAGGGAGGTGGGGTGCGCGGCGAGGGGCGAGATGGACGCGGAAGGGGAGGGGTGCGAGGGGCGTGGGTCGCGGGAGGGGCTCTGGAAGCTCATGGTGCGATTCTTGGCCAGCAGCCAGTCCGCGCGTGATGGCGCCGCTGCCACCGACGCCAAGAGCGGAAAGGCGTCCGCCCCGCGCGCACCTGATGCACCTCCCTGCCCCTCCCGCCTCGCCCGCCCGCCCTCCCCGTGGCCCAGCCCCGCCCCCGGCAGGTGGGCATGGGCAGAGGCGGCGGTGTCGTCCAGGCCGGCCTCCCAGTGCTGCCCGCCCCCCTCCCCCACCCCGCCACTGCCGCCGCTGTTGCTGCCCGTGTGGTCCATGTCAGCGCCCCCCCCAGTGGAGCGCAGGTGGTACTCGTGCAGCTTGCGGAAGAGCGCCCGGATGCGCTCGGAGGCGGTGAGCTGCTGCGCCACGAGCCCATCGCTGTTGCGCGCATACATGTTGGCGCCCGCCACCAGCAGCAGCTTTATTATCCCCCTGCCATGCGCGCATGGGGTGGGGGTGGGATGGTGAGATGGGCAGATGGGACGAAAGGGGGGCGAGGGTAAAGGAAAGAGAGAGAAAGAGGAAGGCTTACCCTTTTTCTCTACCTTCTCTCTAGGCTTACACCCCCTTAGCTCACATTCCGTCGTTCCTTGCTCTCTGTTTGCTGTACCATTCATTACACCTCTGCACCCCCCCCACCACGCACCCCACCACGCACCCCACCGCACACACCTGTGGCCGGTGCTGCAGGCGTAGTGCAGTGCGGAGCAGCGAGTGGCGTCGGTGGCGTTGATGTCCGCCCCGTTGGTGAGCAGCAGCCGCACCAGCTCCTCACTGCCCGCCTGCACCGCCCACAGCAGCGGCGGTGAGAAACCCTCCTGCTGCCACTCGTGCCCAGGCAGGGTGGGTGGAAGGGATGCGGTGAGGTGAGGGATGCAGGGGGTGAATGCAGCAGTGGGGATGGAGGGAGAAGTTGAGTGAGTAGGAAGACGCGAAGAATGTATCAATCCAAGCCACTGTCTGCACCTTACGCACTTGTGCATGTGTGTGAGATGTGGTGAAGGGACGCACATACACTGGTAGCACCGTGGCATGCATACAACAGCCCGGCACATGAGGAGCACGCCAGAGGGCAGACAGAGGGCAGAGGGCAGAGGGCAGAGGGCAGACAGAGGGCAGAGGGCAGAGGGCAGAGGGCAGAGGGCAGAGGGCAGAGGGCAGACAGAGGGCAGAGGGCAGAGGGCAGAGGGCAGAGGGCAGACAGAGGGCAGAGGGCAGAGGGCAGAGGGCAGACAGAGGGCAGAGGGCAGAGGGCAGAGGGCAGAGGGCAGAGGGCAGAGGGGAGGAGTGGGAGTCACCTGAGCGGCGGTGCCCCCATCGGGGTCGGCCCCCCACTCGAGCAGCACTGCTGCCGCGTCCACACTGCCCGCCACCACCGCCTCGTGCAGCACCGTGCGCCCCGTGCCTGCCAGGGGGGAGGGGAGGGGAGTGGGAACGAGCAAGGGCAACAGGGCACAGCACAGTGAGGTTATTTGGAGCCAAACAAGAAGGCAAAGAGGCAAGCGGTGGTGAGAGGTGGTGACACGCATGGCGATGTAACATGGGATGGGACACGGAGGTGGGTGTTTGTGCTGGGTTCCGCTCGTTGATGCGTGACCCACGTCTGTCTGTGCGCCCACCCGTGCAAGCCGCCTCATTCCACTCAGTCCGTTCAAAGGCTGAGAGATTGAACAAGCTGAGCCGCGGGTGAGGTGAGTGGTGGGTTGGGTTGACCCACCGGGGTGCAGCGCGGAGAGCAGGGGGGTGCGGGAGGGGGCGTCCTGCAGGATGGCGTGCACCAGGTCCGCATCGTTGCTGCGCGCCGCCTCCCCCAGCCGCAGCACGCGCTTCAAGTTGATGCCCTCGCCACCCCCCCCGCCCCCGCCCCCATTCTCCCGCGCCCCCGCCAGCCCTGTGCCATCCCGTCCCAGCCCCATGGCGCCCCCCCCCAGCCGCGTGGCCCCGTGCCGCAGGTCCAGTAGGTCGTCCGTGTCAAACAGGCGACTGCCGTTCACTGCCAAGCTGTTGACACGTGGCAGCATGGCATTGGTGGTGAGCATGTCGGCATCATCGAAGCCTGATGACTGCAGGGGGCGAGGTTCGAGGGAGAGAGGGGAAGGTTGGGAGAGCAGAGGGTAGAGAGGAGGCAGGGTGAGGGGCAGACGCAGACACGGTGGCTCGTCACTCTGCCAGCACAGCACAGCCAAGGCAACGCAGCCCCTCTCACACGCACTCACTCTCACTCCACCATCCAACCATTTTCTCCTTGCTTTACTTGCTCATACCTATCCTCACGCCACACTCACAGACCCCTCGCTTCGCTACAATCACGTCACAGCCACCCACAGTGCGGTCCAACCCGAGCCACTGCGCGCCCAGCAGGTGCCGCCCGCCGCCCGCCCCGCTGCTGCTGCTGCTGCTGCTCAGGTCCGCCGCCTGGTGGCTCAGCGTGCGCGCCCACACCCTGCCGCCGCCCCCAACGCCACTCCTGCTCGCGCCCGCGCCCATGCCGCCGTGCCCTCCCACCCCTCCGCTCACGCTCCCCTGCACCCCGCGCGCCCCCCCTTCGAACGAGCCCCCCATGGCCAAGCCCCCCCCCAACCTGCCCCTGCCCTCATGCCGCCTTCCGCCTTCCCCCAGCGCCCCGGATCCCCCCCTCTCCGCGTCCAGCGCGTGCAGATGCCCCACATCGCGCCCCACCAGCTGCGCGTGCCCCCGTAAGCCGCCCCGCGCGTCCTCCGCGCCCTCGTCGAAAAAGTCCCCCAGAGGGCCTCCGCCAAGCCCGCTGTCGTGCGGGGAGAGGTCGTGCGGGGAGAGGCTGTGCGGCGAAAGGCTCAGCCCCGCGGCGACGGCGCGCTGGTGCTGCGCGTCCTGCGCGAAGCGCGCCGCTCCCCCTCCCCCGTCGTCGCGCAGGCCGTGGCTGTGCGGGCGGAGCGACGAGGTGGGCCCCGCCTGGTACGACACGTGGCGGGGGGCGCTCGCGCCGTGCTGCTGCTGCTGGTGGGGATGCGCGTGGCGCGGGGAGTGGTGGCGGTGGCGCGGCAGCGACGCGGGCGGGGTGGCGGCGTGGCGGAGGAGGTCGTCGGAGTCGAGCGAGTCGTACGCCGCGCGGAGGGCGGCGGGGACGGCGCTGCTGTGGCTGCGGGGGAAGTTGCGCGGAAAGTCGCGGGAGGGGCTCACGTCGCCGTCGCCGTCGAGCGTGGCGACGGGGAACGTGCCCGAGCGATGCATGGTGACGCGCGGGGCGAGAGCCAATCAAATGCGCGTCACCGCGAGGTGGGAGCAAATGGCGGCATGGCGGCCGAAGAGAATCCCGTCACCCGGGCCTGCCGCTCCCCCTCCCTCACTCGCCACCCGCGCGGCGCTCTGTGGCCCCACCGCCGAGGTACCGTCGCCGCCAGCTATCGCGTGGTCGGCCGGCTGGCAGGAGGAAAGTGCGGCGCGGCGGTGGAGAAAAGGGCTCGACCGCGGTACCCTAGATGGGCAAGTATTGAGAAATTCCGCGTGTGAAGACGACACCGAGCTTGACGATAAGGCTGGCTGCACGAATCCTACAGAAGCAACTCGCTTGTGCTGGCGACACCAGAACCAGTTAGCAAAGCGCGGCGTACAAGAGGAGCAAGTGACGGGAGAAAAATGAAGAGCTGTGCGTGCAAGTGGTGCGCGAAAGAGCAGAGCAGAACGCAGCAAGCGGAGGAGGCGACGGGCCAGGGAGGGAGCTGCGGGCAGCGAGCGGCGAGGAAGCAGCGTTGGCGGGAGCTACAGTGGTGCGTCTGGTTAGGGTTCGCGACAGAACGTGGGGTTCGTTTTTGGCGAACGTGAGAAGCGGGCTCCTGTTACCGGTGCAATTGAACGAACAGGCGAGGCCTGCACTAAAAGGGCCGGTAACACGAAATAGTGTAAGGAAATTTCTCGGATTCCTTACCGCGCACCGCCACAACGCGTATATTGCTCAACCGTTCTTCGCCCGATTTACGCAGCCGAACTGGGCCTGACTCTAAGGGCGTGTCCAGCGCGTACATTTTGGGAATATTAGTACCTTCACACGTTTCCCGGCTAAAAAAATCTCACTGTACCAAAAAACGAATATAAGGTGAGTCGAGTCCGAAGGATTGGGCCTTCCAGCGCGCGGACACAACCCTCTGCACACAAATTTCTACAGTTCGTGGAAAACGAGGTAACTGGTTGCCTCATCTATCATCGCACAGAAATTCACGCACAAGCGAAAATTCCACGCTTGAACGAAAATTACTGTAGCGGGCAGGACGCAATGCTGTACCCTTGTTCGCGCGCACACTGATTCCAGTAACGTGTGTTAGACGATTCGTCGTACGCGCAGCGGGCGTGCCGTCTTGTGAACGGAAGCTGATCGTGTCCAACCTTTTTTGTAAAATGCAGTGTTACAATAGGAAATGTGGTAACTGAATGGGTTTATGAACTGTAAATGTACGCGCTGGACACGCCCTAAGGGCGCGTGACCTTGGTCCCAAGTTGTAAAGTTGTTTTTTGCTCGAAATTACCCACTCTAACATTGCTCGACCTGTAGTCGAGTATTTCAACCTTTGATGTTCGAGTCGCGTGTCCTTGCTTCACATCATCCACGTCGTACCTACAAAGCTCGAGTAGCGAAGTTCGAACTTGTAAAGCAGGTACCGAGTCGCACATGCTCTTCGTAGGTTACCCTGTTCGGTCTAGGAGTCGTGCGTATCGGAGTCCAGGCGATTGGCGACGTCATTCTGCTGACGACTACTTCGGTAGTGCGCACGACGCGTTTTTCCCGTTTCGCAAGATTCGCAGCTTCAACGACCACCTGCAAAAGAGCACACGTATGACAAAACTTGCTCACGAACAATCAACCCTGTGCTCGATCTCTGTTCAATGTAGGTGTTTGTTTCTATGGTTCTGGCAGATGTTGACGAGCTAGGCGAGGATCGTTTACGACATTCACGATACTGCTAACCAGTATATGCTCGAGCAAATATATGAGCTCGGACCACCAAGGACACGCGCCCTAACTCCACTCGGTGTTTCTGAGAAAAGACGGCGCAAAGCACATTGTGACTGGCAAACCAGCGGCGTGTACAGCTCCGTTTCTCGACGCAGAAGCCCAACGAGTAGCTTACAGTGATCACGCGCGTGCGCCAACGCCTCGCGCGCCCGCGCGTGAAACAGCACTAGCCGTGCCAGCTTGCTCTCTATCGCGGGGGCCGTCACCTCTCACTCCCGTCTCGCCACCCATCGCGGCCTCCCCTCGCCTCCCCTTGCGGAACCTCGTCCCTCATCTCACACTCGTCGCCCCGCACGCTCTCCTACACGCGCGCACGCCGCACTAGCCGCTGCGGCCGCACGAGAGATCGTGACGCGCAGCATCTCACACCGCCGCGTCCATAGCGCGCGCACCATCTGCGGCGCCCAGCTCACCCTCACGAACCGCCGCGTCCGTTCACGCACGCACCCCGCGCTCGCCCGCACGCCTCGTCACGAGGTCCGCCCGCCCTCTCACACTCGCCACGCCTCCCCGCGCACCCTTCCTCCTAAACCCCTGCTTTCCATTCCCACTCTCAACCCTCACCGCCTATTTTCCTTTCGAACAACTTCATTTCCCGTTCCCTACCTTTGAATTTCCATGGTTAGTTTTCTCATGCCTTCCCTGCCATTCCCTCCCCTTCTAACCCAATCCTTCCTTTCCCTGTTCCCTGCCCTTCCCTGCCCTTCCCCTGCCCCTCCCGTGCCCTTATAGCCAGCGCCACTCCGCTGCTGCGAGGTAGGGCGGGCGCGGGGAGGCGTGAGCATGGCGGTGCACGACTAGAACCCGGGCTTCTCTCACGAGGTGAGTCTCCCCATTCCAGCCCTTCCCTTCCAACGTTTTCCTTCCGTCCCTTCCCTTCCATTCCCGTCTGAATTGTTTTACCCTCTTCCTGCCTTTCCAGTGTCTGCACTTGGACTATTATGGAGATTAGGGTGTGTTGCATGTCGGAACTATGGATGCGATGGCTCAAGGGCAAACCTTTCAAACTGTGCTCTTCCCATTCACCCACGAATACTGACCGTTGAATTGTGTCACTGCTTTCATAACAGCATGTCCGCCTGATTGTCCACCAAGCCCCCGTTTCAGCCGCGAGTTGGGAAAGAGCAATCATGGCAACGCCAGTCGTAGGGGCCGCGGCGCAAGTGGGAGCGAGTGGGGGCGCGACGGCAGCGAGGGCGGCGGACGCGGAGAGGGCGCAGCTGGTGCAGCAGCTGAACCTGGCGGGCGTGCGCGCGCGCGTGGCGGAGCTGCAGGGCAGCATCGCGCGCGTCATGGGCGCCTTCCACGAGCAGCACGTGCACCTCAAATGGTCAGTCGCTCCCCCCCCCCCCCCCCCCCCCCCCCCCCACATCGACCACAGTCCCTTGCTCCATGTGATCACGGCGATGCACTCCTCCGTTGGGCGCGTGTGACGGGCCAGTGCCAGCCTGTTGCTGCGCGTTCGCTGCTGCGCGTAGCCGACCCTCGATGATGGGGGGAAGGGGGGGGGGGGGGAGGGGGGGAGACGATGGGCCATGGTGGGGGGGGTTGGCAAGGGGGGGTAGAGAGACGATGGGCCATGGTGGGGGGGGTGCGATGGGCCCTGGTTGGGGGTGGGGGGTGATATGGGCCATGATGGGGGGTGGGGGGTGATGGGCCATGGTGGGGGGGTGCGGGTGGCAGCAGGTGTGGAGGTGCAGGTGGGTGCGAGCGGGCAGGCTGCGTGTCCCTTGGAGGCTGGCGGGCAGGGGGAGATGCACTAGGCGGGGAGATGCACTAGGCGGGGAGATGCACTAGGCGGGGAGATGCACTAGACGGGGAGATGCACTAGACGGGGAGATGCACTAGACGGGGAGATGCACTAGACGGGGAGATGCACTAGACGGGGAGATGCACTAGACGGGGAGATGCACTAGACGGGGAGATGCACTAGACGGGGAGATGCACTAGACGGGGAGATGCACTGGACGGGGAGATGCACTAGACGGGGAGATGCACTAGACGGGGAGATGCACTAGACGGGGAGATGCACTAGACGGGGAGATGCACTAGACGGGGAGGTCAATCACAGCCACACATGCCATGCGTGCCTCTCACGTCACTTGCTGCCTTTGCTGCTTCTCAACTGACCTCCCTCATCCCTCGCTTCCTGCCCTCCCCTTCACCACCGCATCCTCTCACCGGCATCGTGTACTCAGCTCACCTACACTCGTCCCTGCCACGGACCACTGCACCCACCCATGCGCCCGCCTGCTTCCTGCCCTCGGACTGCCCTCCTTTCCTCACCCCCCTCTCCTCACCTCACCCCTCTCTCCTCACCTCACCCCTCTCTCCTCACCTCACCCCTCTCTCCTCACCTCACCCCTCTCTCCTCACCTCACCCCCCTCTCCTCACCTCACCCCCCTCTCCTCACCTCACCCCCCTCTCCTCACCTCACCCCCCTCTCCTCACCTCACCCCCCTCTCCTCACATCACCTCTCTCTTCTCCGCACTCCCTTCTCCCCACCTTCCCGTCCTTGCCTTGCTCTCCTAATCCCACGCCCCACCCCCCACCCCCCGGGCGGGAATCAGGGCGGAGGCGGTGGCGGCGCTGAGTGTGGTGAGTGCGGGGCTCTACAGCCTCGTGGATGACGTCATGCCCATGCTGCGCTCCTTCGCTGTGTGCCCCGCCACTGTCACCGCTCACAATGCTGCCGGTAGGCCGCACTGCTGGAGGGGATTGTTGGAGGGGTGGGAGGCGTTGAATGACGGACGGCCGGAGATGTGGCTGCTGGTTTGTGCCTCTCCGCCACTTCCCACTCTGCATTACTGCTGCACTCGCCCCCACCACGTGCTTCACTCGCCCCCACCACGTGCTGCAGTCTTGTGAGCCCATTCCAGGGCCATTCATGCAGTGCCACGTTTTTCGTCCTCCCTCCCCCTCCACCCACTTGCCTCGGCTCCCCATTTACCTGTTACCCCCGCGCTGCTATCCTCCATGCTGCTTGTACACCCGCTTGGATGTGTCTTTGTGCTGGCCTGCCAGTCCAACCCTAGGCGTGCTTGAGCAATGTCAAACCCGGGCCGTCCACACTGGAATATGGTCAAGCTGGCAACCGTGCCGGGTTGAACCTAGCAGTTGAGGATGGGCCGTCACGGTCCTCATCCCACAACGTGACTCGTGACTCACCCACCACATGTGCATCAATGAGCGTTGCACGCGCAAGTGCGCGGCAGACATGGCATTTCACGTACGAGCTGTGGGTGGATGTGACAAATGCGCGCATCCACGCCTACCCCTCATACCGCATACGGATCTGTGGATCTTGCAATCTGCCTGCGCATCCTCATGCATCTCGCATTTTGCCAGCAGATCCGCGCCACCCAGGAAAGCTATACACCTCCCAAACCCAACCCATTCGTAACCTGAAAACATCACACTAGAGGGACATTTTCAAGGTGCCGAACCTAACACTCTCATTCTTAAGCGGCATCACCTTCATTCTCTCGTTCAGCAGCAGAGGCAGCTGCTCGTCGTTAACAGCTGCTCGCCGTTAACAGCTGCTCGTCGTTAACAGCTGCTCGCCGTTAACAGCTGCTCGTCGTTAACAGCTGCTCGTCGTTAACAGCCGCTCGTCGTTAACAGCCGCTCGTTGTTAACACCGTCGTTCACGCCAAGCTTGCGCCAAGCCCTCCCACGAGCTGCCACATGTTTGCCTCCTTGGGCTTCGCCTCTTGTTCTCCCTCGCCCTTTCACTAGCCTTCTATCTACCATGCCAACGGGTATGTTTGAGTACCATGTGTGCTATGCTACTATGCGTGCAATGAATGGGATGTACTTATAGTATCCAGCCCCTGCTCCGGTGGATTCTTGAAACACAAACAATCATGGGTGATCAAGTAAACCACAACAGCCACCACCAGTTGTGTGGGGCTAACCCCGCCACCTCACACGCGTGAATTGCCGCTCCAACCACATTACAGAGCAACCTAATCATTCCCGATTATTTTAGTACTCTCATTCCACCTGTCAATCAATCCATCGCTCCCTCTCACTACCTCCCCCTTTCCTTGTTCTCCTCTGTCCGGGCACTTCCTCGGGCGCATCACCCCGCCCGCTGGCACCAGTGCTGCCCATAATGCTGTCGTCCAAGCTGCTGCCGGAGATGGAGGTGGAGGGCCGAGCAAGAGAGGAGGCGCTGAGGGGGCCACTGGCAGCGCTGCCGGTGGCACAGCAGCTCGAGCTTCTGCAGCTGCAGGTGCCCCTCTGCCCTCCTCCTTCCCTCGCCTCACCTCGCCTCCCCTTGCTGTGCCTCCCCTTGCCGTGCCTTGCCTTGCCGGGTGGAGCAGCGGTGGTGGGATGCCCGTCGCCCTGTCAAGGCCATTCTTAGTGCTTCCTTGCTCATCACCCGCACACTTGCTCTCATCTCTCTGTCCCTCGCCACTCTCCTCTCTCTATCACCTCAGTACGCAGCACTCCCTCTCCTCTCTCCCTCACGCCCCGTCGCGCCCTTCCCTCCACCACCGCAGGCAAGTGTGCATGCCGTGTAACTGAGCGCACCTCACAGCCGTGCCGTCGCCACTGCAGAGCGCCTGTGCCTACGGAAGGCACACGCCTGCCTCTCTCACACCCTCGCCTCTCTCACACCCTCGCCTCTTCCTTCCCTTGGTGCCATCTATCCCTGCCCTCCGCTCCCCTCGCCCCCTCCTCCCCACCCCACGGGCAGGCGAAGATGGTGGACGTGGCGTGTGAGCGCGCGGAGAAGGTCATTCTCGATGCGCGCAAGGCGCACGGCATCGGGGCGCGGCAGGCGGCGGCCAGCGTGGCGGCGCTGTACGGCGCAGGCAGCACTGACAAGGCTGCTCTCGCCCGCGTCGCCGACCAGGAGAAGCTTCTCAGAAATGCACTGGCCACCGGCGAGGGTGTGTTTGGGGAAAGGGCGTTGGTGGCAGCTGCAGTGTTTCGACCCATGTGCAGCATGACTAGATGCTCACATCCTCATGTACACCCCTCTCACCACACACCCCCACCCACCCCTCGCACCACGCACCCCCACATACTCTTCTTGCCATGCACCCCTCATTTTTGCCTTGCTCGCCTCACACCTCCTCCACCTTCCCACCTCTCTTTATGTCCTCCCTCCCCACCCCGCTCCTTTCTCCCCCCCACCCCCCTTCCCATGGCTTCAGGGTTCCGAGTGCCCCCCCAGCCGGCCGCTGCTGGCCCTGCCCCTCCCGCCCACCGCGGCCACCCAGGCCAGGCGGCGCCAGCAGCACCTGCCCTGCCGCCACACAGATCGCCAGCAGCACCTGCCCTCCCCACCCCAGATCGCCACACGCTGTCCTCCTGGAGTAAAGGTGTCAATCCATACATCCTGAAGGACAGCGTTGCTCACCAAGTTCGTAGAGAACGAGGGGAGGTGAAGACCTGACAGTGAGCCAGACGGAACCGCCGGACACGGGAGAACAGTGGAGGAACGTGCAAGGACTGGGCCCCCAGAGGGGTCAGCCAGAGAGACAGCAACAGGTGCAGGGAGCGGTGTGAGTGCGGTACTGTCGCGAAAGAAACAGCGGGAAGCCCTTGAGTCAAGTGTGAAGGTGTGCAAGGCCTCAGCAGGCGCAGTACCAGAGAGAGCAGACTCACCGGCACCTAGAGCAGCAGACTCACTAGCACCTAGAACAGCAGCCTCTATACCTGGGTCTGGCGGCATACACAGGTAACAGTCACCCTCAGCACTAACAGTCAATGCATACATGGCAGATAGGATAGCATCATAATCAAGAGCAAAGATGTCTACCCCCTGCTTAAACAGGTCTGCCCAGCGGGGGAGCTCAGCCGCGTCGGGAAACTCTGTGCGGAAGGCGTCGGAAAGACGAGAGAAGCAGCGGTACTGGGTGTGGAGCTTGCCGCATGTCTGACCAGTGCGGTCACCTGTGCGAATGACATACGGGCAGGGACCACTACCCCCAGCCGCCCCACGCTGAGCAAACCACTCACGTAGCTCCTGGGGCGAAAGCTGACGCTGCTGCTGCTGCCTCTGACCACTGCCAAGGCCTCCCCTCTGACTGGTACCACCCCGGCCGCCACCACTGCCACCGCCTCCACTCCCACTGCCGCCACCACTGCCGCCACCACCGCCGCCACCTACACCTCCACCCCCACCACCACTCCCTCCGCCACCGCCGCCCCCTCCACCGCCTCCACCGCCCCCACCACCGCCTCCACCTCTGCCGCCCCCACCGCCCCTGCCTCCCCTGCCCCTGCCGTTGCGGCGCCTCCCACTAGGGGCAGACGCAGCTCCTACCTCCTCAGCACGAAGGTAGTCAACAGCTGCAGCAGAGGCGACTGAGGGGAGAAGGAGGGAGGGCGAACACCCCTCAAAAAAGGGAGTGCGAGGAGTGCCACGAGAAGCGCCTACAGCGACTATGCTAGTCTCAGCTGCAAAGAGGTGCTTCTCGAGCAGGTCGACAGTGAGGGTGGTGGGGTCAAAGGCGAGAAGGAGGTCCCTGACAGCGCTAAGAGAGTCAGGGAGGCGGGTGACTATGAAGTAGAGAGTGATGTACATGGGAGGAGGGTTCTTGGTGAGAAACTCGGCGGGAAGCGCAGCACGGTAGCGAGTGTCACTAGTGCGAAGGTGAGTGACGAGGTCGGCTACTGTGGCAAAGGCGGACAGCTATGGGAACAGGTAGGGCAGGAGAAGGCGGCCTAGAGCAGCAGTGGCCGGCGAGGAGTAACGAGCAACTACAGCGTCGTACAGTGCTTTCGCAATCTTGTGCTGTCCGAAATGAGCGCGTTCTGCTAACGGCAGGTGGTTGCGAACGGTTACGCGAGCAGCAGCGTCACGAGTAAGCCACTGCGAGCGAGCTGTACTGTCAGCTGTGGCGGAAGGGGCGACAGAGGCGCCAGAAGTGAGGTCAAACAGTGAAATACCGTCCTTGGAGTCGCTCAGTAAGAACAGCTCTAAGTCATCGAGCCAGGAGTCGAACTCTATCGGGCGGCCCTCCGAATCAAAGGTGAGGACGCTCAGGGTCGCCATAGCAGGCAGAGCAGGCGAGCGTGCTAGCAGCAGGGCAGCACGTAAGGAGGGTAGGGCAGGGCAGCGGCCAGCAGGGCGGCGCACAGGAAGGGCAGCGCGGCTGCTAGCGGCGCAAGGGCAGGGCAGGGCGCGCGGCTGCTGGCGGCACGCTGGCAGGGCAGGGCGCACGGCAGCGGGCGGCGCGCGGGCAGGGCAGGCCGCTCAGCAGCGGCGGCGCGCGGGCAGGGCAGGGCGCACGGCGGCGGGCGGCGCGTGGGCAGGGCAGGGCCGGCGGCGGGCGGCGCGCGGGCAGGGCAGGGCGCGCGGCGGCGGCGCGCGGGCAGGGCGCGCGGCAGGCAGGGCGCTCGGCAGGCAGGGCGCGCGGCAGAGCAGGGCGCGCGGCAGGCAGCGCGCGCCGGCAGGGCGGACGGCGGACAGGGCGCGCGGCGAGCAGGGCGCGCGGCGGGCAGGGCGCTCGGCGAGCAGCGCGCGCGAGTAGGGCACGCGGCAGGCAGGGCGCGCGGCAGGCAGGGCGCGCGGGCAGAGCGCGCGACGGGCAGGGCGCGCGGCAGGCAGGGCGCGCGGGCAGGGCGCACGACGGGCAGGGCGCGCGTCGGGCAGGGCGCGCGGCGCGACAGCGAGCGATGCGCGGGCAGGGCAGTGCGCGCAGCAGTGAGCAGCGCGCGGGCAGGGCGTGCGCGGCAGCGCGACGCAGGGCAGGGCAGGGCGGCGAAACGCTAACAGGGCGGCGCGACTCGTGGGGTAGCGCAGTTCGGTGGGCCCTAAAAAATCGGTCCTAGGCTAGGACCTGCTCTGAAACCATGTCAGAATAACAAACAGGAATGAATTGACTAACAGCAGGATGGGTACAAGTACTAACCCTAATTGGGTTGTACCCCATATGGGCTACCCCACTATAGCCTACACAAGATACAGCATATAAGTTTGACAGGCTGCGCCGCCCACCTGGCTTCACTGGGTCGTTTCCTGAGGGTACCCAGTGGAGTCTCCGGCGGCCAGTCTACGGTCTCCGTCAGGCGCCCCGCGAGTGGCACGACACACTGAGGATGACACTTGCGACTCTTGGCTTCGCTCCTTCGACTGCCGACCCGTCGCTGTTTCTGCGCACAGACCCTGCTTTACCGCCGTTCTACATCCTCGTGTAAGTAGACGACCTGGTCTTTGCGACTGCTGACAGTGAGGCACTGGCCCTTGTGAAGGCCGAGCTGTAGAAGAGACACACATTCACTGATCTGGGTGAATTGCGGAGCTATCTTGGATTGCAGATCACCCGGGACAGAGCAGCGCGCACCATCACTCTGACTCGGTCACAGATGGTGCAGCAGGTCCTTCTGCGTTTCGGCTTTCAGTTCTCCTCGGCACAGCCGAGTCCTCTGCCTACGGGCCACTCGCTCTCAGCTCCACCTTCGGACGAGTCCTTAGAGCCTAGTGGTCTGTATCCAAAGCTTGTGGGTTGCCTAATGTATCTGATGACGTGCACTCGGCCTGACCTCGCGTACCCTCTCAGCATCCTGGCACACTACGTTGCGCCCGGGAGACACCGTCCTCAGCACTGTTAGGAGGGTGCTGCGCTACTTGACCAGTACATTAGGCTTGGGGCTTGTGCTTGGGGACGGGGTTCAGTTGTGCTCACAGGGCACTCATACGCTTCGTGGGCCGACGACCAGGCGACTTCCCGGTCTTCCCAGGGCTACACTTTCAGCCTCGGTCTTGGCTCTGTCTCGTGGAGGTCCACTCGCTCGTCTTCTGTGCTCAGCTCCAGCTGTGAGGCCTAGATCTACGCTTGGGCTATGGCTGCGCAGGAGTTATGCTGGCTGACCTACTTGCTCACCGACTTGGGAGAGCAGCCTCGTTTTGCACCAGTTCTGTACGCTGACAACAAGGCCATGGTCGCATTGTGTCAGGAGCAGAGACTCAAGAGCAGATTGAAGCACATTGCCCTTCGTTACTTTCTCGTGCGAGAGTTACAGCAGCGTGGTCAGCTTCGCCTTTCTTACGTGGCCTTCTAGGCCAATAATGCTGATATCTTCACCAAGGCACTTGGGTCTAGTGGTCATCGGCGTTTTTGCGCTGCTCTTGGCCTTGTGCCTACTCTGCCTCACTTGCTCTAGTCTTGCTGTACTCTGGTATATATATCTATACCTGCATGTGTACACCTAATAGGTTGTGATCACTATACTGCTTTTGTTGTTATGACACAGCATGTGAACTGGCCTTGTGGCCGCTTGCTTGTGCTCGGACTGTGTGATGATCTTAAGATCCACCCTGAGCTTTGCCTTGTTGCTTCTTTTGACTGGGCTTGTGACCGTTTGTCGGTGCTTGCTATACCTCACTTAGCCAATTGGGGGTGTGTCAAATGTCATATTTGTTGATAGGCTGTAGTGAGGCATCCTCTAGAGGGTACAACATACTTAGGGTTTCCCATATGTACCCAACTTTGTGCTAGTTCATTCATTCTGCTGTCTCAATTTTCAACACCTGATGGATACATACATACCCTGCTGTGTCACTTCTTAATCATCCCAGTGCCAATCCATAACAAATGCAAGTTTTTCATCCTTTTCTTTCTACAAAACGTTTCCGCTACGCATGCACTATGCCTTTCTAGCAGATTGCATTAAGGGTCAAAAGATAAACAACTGTGAGCTAAGGCATGAGCGAGAATTAAATAGCAACAGTGTAAGGTTTGGCAAAATTAGCTCTGGAGGTGGCGAAAACCGTTAAGGGGTAACAGGCGAAGAACGCTCGAGTCGTGAACATGATGTACATGGTCTAGTGTGATGTACGCTGGAATCTTATATTTTTCTTACTCAGGATTTCGTTTTGAGGGTCGCTGGAATATCAGTTTGTCGTGTGTGGATCTGGACAACCATCCTCGTTAAAAGAAAACCTTGGGGTGTGCCGCAGATGCTCTTGGATGGGGTGGGGTGGGGTCAGTTGATTTCTGTAGATTTCTGAAGCTTGCTCGCACGGCCCTCCCCTATGTTGCTACTCGCCCTTCATTCCCCACCCCACCCACCTTGTGGCCCTACCGCGGGTGAAATCTTGAGAATTGAGGCGCATTTTGCCAGCGGCACTGGAACGCATTTCACCCATCAGAAGCACCTCGCATCCTACTTCGTTCCGCAGGGCCTCGAATAGATAGTCTCTCACCTCTCGCATGTGCCATCGCGCGTTTCTCCGAGCTCCCTACTAAAAGACTCACGGCTTTCGACGGAACTGTCGCTCCGCGTGCCTCCTCTCGGCGTCCCTCCGCGCACGTTCGTCGCCACACTCGCCGGCCGCCATTCAAGCTCCCGTGCTCCCTTACCCCACCCCGTAGGCCATCATCGCTCCCCACCGTAGGGCCTGAGCCCCCCGTTCCGCCGCCGCGCCGCCATGTCGTGGTTCCGCTCCGCGCTCAGCATAGGCGCGGAGGCCGCCAATGCGAGCGGCAAGGCGGTGGGGTCGGGGTTCGAGCGCGCGAGCTCGTTCGCGTCGTCGGTGGTGCAGCGCGCCAATGACGCCGTGCTGCTGGCGGGCGACGCCGTGGAGCAGGGTGCCAAGATGGTCTACGAGCACGCCGAACACGCCGTGGTGCGTCAACCCGCCGCCGCCGCCGCCTCGGCCACCGCCACGCCGTGCTAGCGGCCCCCCTTCGCTGCGCCCGCCCGCCCGCGCTACTCTTCCACCGCCGCTGCGTGCCTTCACTCTCCATCGCGTTTGCGTGCTCAGCCTGTTCCTTCGCTTTTATCTCACCATTCATCGCGTCCCCCTCACCTCCCGCTGCTTCCCCCGGGCAGGGCGGCACGTCGGCGCGGCAGCACAACAGCTTCCGCCACGCCGTGCGGCGCATCGAGGAGGTGGCGATGCTGGCGCGCGGGGCGGAGCGCAAAGAGGCGCTGGCGCGCTGGCTGGGCGCGCTGGCAGACATCAGCGCGGAGCGGGAGCAAGCGGAGCGCGGAGAGAAGGAGCTGGCGGCGCTGCAGCAGCTGGGCATGGGGCTCGCGCTGGGGGGAAGCGCGGCGGGGGGAGGGGGGAACGATGGTGGTGGGGGTGGCGGGAAGAATGACTCAGGGGAGGGCGGGACGGAGGAGGCAGCGGGGCAGCGGGCGGTGGGGGCAGATGGGGACGGAGGGCAGGCAGGGGAGGGCGCGGAGGGTGGTGGTGAGGGTGCGGGCGAGAGCGAGGGCACGAGTGGCAGCGGCGTGAGGGAGGGCGTGGCTCCGCCTTCAGCCTCTCCGCGGCACCTCCCTGCTCCCCCCCTAGCACCCTCGCATGGCAAGGTGTCACGGGTGAGTGCGCTGACACATGCTCCCAGTGCATCTCCATTGCCCTTCTATGCAGTGCCACAGCAAGCAAACAGCACGCTCACACGCCATCCACACATGCAACGTGCCATCGACTTCCTCCCTTCCCCGCATCCCCCCTGCCTTCCCCCTCCTGCCTGTCCCCCCTGCCATCCCCCCCCTTCTCTCCCTCCCCCTGCCCCCAGGTGCTATTCCACGACCCCAACGCGCCGCACCAGCCGCTCACCTTCCGCGACGTCTTTCTGCACAGCCAGGCGCTGGAGAACATGGTGGCGTCGCTGGTGAGTGCGAGTCAACTCAAGTCTTTCTGCACAGCCAGGCGCTGGAGAACATGGTGGCGTCGCTGGTGAGTGCGAGTCAACTCAAGTCTTTCTGCACAGCCAGGCGCTGGAGAACATGGTGGCGTCGCTGGTGAGTGCGAGTCAACTCAAGTCTTTCTGCACAGCCAGGCGCTGGAGAACATGGTGGCGTCGCTGGTGAGTGCGAGTCAACTCAAGTCTTTCTGTGCTTGTCCCCGCTTTGACATTCGGACCAGAAGCGGTTCAGACCTTGAGGTTCAACCATGCAATAAGAATCACGCAGTTGGCACCGAAAGTGTGCTTCACAGCAGCACTCGCTAATGAAGTGTAAGTAATAAGAATCACGCTTTTGCATGCTGGATACTCCAGCATGCAAAAGGGAAGGGGTAGAGAGGTGGAGGGCCTCTAGGAAAGGAGTGGGAGGGAAGTTGCAAACGGTGGTCCCAGTGGCGGGGTGTGGGGCATCGATCACGTCCCGCCCCACTGGAGGCATCGATCACGTCCCGCCCCACTGGAGGCATCGATCACGTCCCGCCCCACTGGAGGCATCGATCACGTCCCGCCCCCACTGGAGGCATCGATCACGTCCCGCCCCACTGGAGGCATCGATCACGTCCCGCCCCACTGGAGGCATCGATCACGTCCCGCCCCACTGGAGGCATCGATCACGTCCCGCCCCACTGGAGGCATCGATCACGTCCCGCCCCACTGGAGGCATCGATCACGTCCCGCCCCACTGGAGGCATCGATCACGTCCCGCCCCACTGGAGGCATCGATCACGTCCCGCCCCACTGGAGGCATCGATCACAGTCCCGCCCCACTGGAGGCATCGATCACGTCCCGCCCCACTGGAGGCATCGATCACGTCCCGCCCCACTGGAGGCATCGATCACGTCCCGCCCCACTGGAGGCATCGATCACGTCCCGCCCCACTGGAGGCATCGATCACGTCCCGCCCCACTGGAGGCATCGATCACGTCCCGCCCCACTGGAGGCATCGATCACGTCCCGCCCCACTGGAGGCATCGATCACGTCCCGCCCCACTGGAGGCATCGATCACGTCCGCCCCACTGGAGGCATCGATCACGTCCCACCCACTGAAAGCGCAGTGCACGCGTGGCCGCCCAACTGCACTTGGCCGGACGTCGCTCGCCCACTGCCTTGAGCCCAATCCGTTGAATGCGGTGCAGATGGAGTGGTTCATGTGCGTGTGCACCACCGTGCCATCATCCACGCTACGCATGTCCATGTGTGCCCCCATGCCCCCATGTGCCGCCATGCATGGCAGGTGATGGACCCGGGGGATGACGAGGAGTTCTGGCTGCTCAGAAACCTCTTCAGGTGCCCTCCCTCGCTCCTCAATCCTCCATCCCCTTTCCTCCTTTCTCTGCCCTCCTTCCTCCGCTCTCTCTCCTCCTCTCTCCTTCCGCTGCACGCCGTGCTCCGGGCATTAACTAGCGATTGTGTGTTGCTCGTTCGGTGCAATTCAGTGGAGTGCGTTGTTGATTGATTCCGAGTAACCAAGAGGCATGCACTGCGTGCGGTGGATGGAGTGCACACCATTGTTCTCAAGGACCCACCAGCTCACCTCCTTGTCCCTCGTCTCCTGTGAGACCTATCCTTCCTTACCCTTCCTCTCCCTTCTCTTCTCCCACCCTCGCACGTTCCCATTGCGTGCTTCCACACCCCTTCCCTTGCATCGCTCACGCCTTGCATCGCTCACGCCTTGCATCACGTACGCCTTGCATCACGTACGCCTTGCATCACGTACGCCTTGCATCACGTACGCCTTGCATCACGTACGCCTCAAAATATTCCTGCTCACTCCTCCTTTCTACTACATCCATTTTCCCTCCCCCCCCTCCCACGCCATGCTGGGCGGCCAGGCTGTGTCTGTCGCTGGGCCACGAGGACCAGGACGCGCTGCTCGCCACGCTGCACTCACTCGCCAACTCCGCCCAGTCCTACTCTGAAGTCAAGGTCACCGCCCTCCCCTCCCCTCCCCTCCCCTCCCTTCCCCTCCCTTCCCCTCCCTTCCCCTCCCTTCCCCTCCCCTCCCCTCCCTTCCCCTCCCTTCCCCTCCCCTCCCTTCCCCTCCCTTCCCCTCCCCTCCCTTCCCCTCCCTTCCCCTCCCCTCCCTTCCCTTCCCCTCCCTTCCCCTCCCCTCCCCTCCCTTCCCCTCCCCTCCCTTCCCTCCCTTCCCCTCCCCTCCCCTCCCTTCCCCTCCCTTCCCCTCCCCTCCCCTCCCTTCCCCTCCCCTCCCCTCCCGTTCCCCTCCGCTCCCTTCCCCTCCGCTCCCCTCCCTCCCCCTCCGCTCCGCTCCGCTACTCTGCATGCGGCCATGGCATTGCATTGTGCAGAGCCCTCTCCCTGCTTCTACTGCCTCAACCACCCACCCGCTCACCTTCAAACCAGGCAACGCTGCAATGGCCTCCTGTCCTTTGCCTCTCCCACCGACCTCGAAAACCTTCCCCTGCGCCAAGCCTCCTCTCCCCCCCCTTGCTGTGCGCGCGCGCATGCAGCTATCAGGCGACGAGTTGGAGCGGTTTGTGGCGGAGGCGATGACGGGGCTCAAGGTGAGCCCCGAGGCGGAGCGCCTGGACCAAGAGGCACGGCGCCTGGAGCACGCCGTGGCGCAGGGGCTGGCTGCTGTGCACGCCTCCTCCGCCCTGCACGCCGCGGAGGATGATGGTGACCGGGGCAAGGGCGGTGGTGCGGAGGGGAAAGGAAAGGGTGAGGAGGTGGGGGAGGAAGGGGCAGAGCAGGCAGAGGGCGAGGGAGGGGTGGGGGAGGCGGAGAGGGCAGAGGGGGAGGCGGCGTTGGGGCGGGTGGAGGAGGCGGAGAGGGCAGTGGACGAGGTGCTGGCGGTGCAGCAGCAGGAGGTGCAGGCTGCGCGCAGCCGCGAGGTGCTTCGTGCCGCTCTGCGCCTGGTGGCGCTGGAGAGGCGTAGAGAGGCGCTGCTGCAGCAGGGGGACACGCCGGGCGACCGTGCTCTCAAGGTGGGCAGCGCATGCTGTGGGGGCTGGGCGAGCAAAGAAAGTAGAACAATCCAGTCGAAAGTTAAAGTCGAGAGACTATTCCAAGATGCTCACAAGGCACTTAGTGGAGCAAGAAAGGGGTTGCAGAGTGAGGGAGGCGGAGCAAAAGAGACTCCGGCTGAGAAAGGCCCATCAGCACAAACATGACCCACCAGCGCAAAGAGACTACGAAATGAAGCACAGGGAGGGAGGTTACGGGTGCAGAGATGAGGTAAGTTGTGGTAAGTTGATAAGGGTGGAGAGATAAAGGGGCCGTCCAATGTCTTGACGCATCTCAAACACCCCCCCCCTTCCCCCCCCACTGATGCCATGGCCTGGCATGGCATGGCACGGCATGGCAGGTGGAGCGGGTGACATCACTGGCAGCGGAGGTGGGCGAGGGGGTGGTGGCGCTGAGGGCACAGATGGCGGAGTGCAGCCAGCAGAAGGCGGACGCCCTCGCCTACCGCACCGCCAAGGCCCACGAGGCTGCTGACTCCCACTCCGTGAGGGCCCCCACTCCTTATGGACGCCCCACTCCTTATGGACGCCCCACTCCTTATGGGCCCCCCACTCCATATGGGCCCCCCACTCCATATGGGCCCCCCACTCCATATGGGCCCCCCACTCCATATGGGCCCCCCACTCCATATGGGCCCCCCACTCCATATGGGCCCCCCCACTCCATATGGGCCCCCCACTCCATATGGGCCCCCCACTCCATATGGGCCCCCCACTCCATATGGGCCCCCCACTCCATATGGCCCCCCCACTCCATATGGGCCCCCCACTCCATATGGCCCCCCCACTCCGTCACCTCCCCACTCCCTGAGCTCCAAGCTTCATGCTCGGAGCGCAGCCCCATCAGCCCGTTTCTCATGTGCCCTTGTGCCTTCCACCCTCCTCACTCCTCTCCCTGCCTCTCACTCTCCTTGCCTTTCACCCTCCGTGCCTCGCGTTTCACCCCCTGCCACGCCTCCCCATGCCCCCCATGTTTCACCCGCTCATGAGCCCAAAAGCATGCTTTGTGCTCCCCTGTGTGCCTGTGTGGGCGTGTGGCAGGTGGTGGACCGGGAAATGGCTGCTCTGCAGGCCAGGAAGGCGGAACTTGAGGAGGAGTTGAGCAAGGTGAGGAGGAGCTGAGCAAGGTGAGGAGGAGCTGAGCAAGGTGAGGGGCAGTGGGGGAAATAACACAAAGGTACAGCTGGGGACGGGTGCAGAGTGGTGCATTGGTGAAGCAGGGAATGGGATTGCTTGCATCACACATGTGAACACAATGCCAGGAGACTCGGGCATCCTCTTCTGCTGCTCCCGTTGCCACTTGCGTCCTAGATCCCATGACACCTCATCATCATCCCTCGCTGCACCTCGCTGCTACCGCCTGTTGCTGTTGCCTCCTATCACCAACAACAGGTGCAGAGTGCGATAGACAGTTTGAGCAAGAAGCAAGGCAAGGTGCGCGAGGAGAAGGAGCAGTTCAGCATGGCCAGCACCAGCATCGTCACCCACCTTGCAGCGCAGGTAACGCGGTAACCACCTAACAGTGCGGGCAGGTTAGACGTCACATGAGCACGACAAACCGAAGTCGAACGAATTCGGTTTAATCCCTGACGAACCCTTCTGTTCCAGGCGGAGCTTTTTAGGTCACTTGATGTTCGAGGTTCGGCCAAAGATACTCAAGGTGTGGAAGGTTCGGTCGAAGTGATGGGTGTTCAACCCGAACCTGTTGGAGCTTGGTTCGAGTAACCGACATTGTTATAGTGCTGGGTGTGGGAGTATGCAAAATGTGAGCGCTAGCAGGACAAGCTCAAGTGCATCGTCTGAACACGTGCAAGCAAAACAACATGGAGCCCATGGTTGGCGGCGGCTAGTCTCTAAGCTAAGGGCGCGTTGAAAGGCAGAGCGACTCTTGAAAATGGTGTGAGAGAAGTGGGAGCCACCCAACCTCAAAACTGGTTTGAACGACCAGATTCTGGGTCATATGCGCGACGCGCGTGCAGGACATTGTATGTCAGACCCCCCATGCGTTCAACACAAACGGTTCGTTGCACCTTGAGCGAACAGTAAATGTTCGGTCGAAAAGTTCAGCTCGACACAGTGTCGAACCTGTTTGATCGAATCGAAACAAGGTTCAATTCGATGCTCATTTATAGCCGCGGGTAAATGTATAACCACCTCACATCACAGGTAATGCAATACCTTCTCATAGCACACGGAATCACGGCAGTGGCAACCACCTTGCACCCACTTGTCGTCATTCATCCCTCGTTGGTCGTCTCAGTTTGTTCGTCCCTCGTTGGTCGTCTCAGTTTGTTCGTCCCTCGTTGGTCGTCTCAGTTTGTTCATCCCTCGTTGGTCGTCTCAGTTTGTTCGTCCCTCGTTGGTCGTCTCAGTTTGTTCGTCCCTCGTTGGTCGTCTCAGTTTGTTCGTCCCTCGTTGGTCGTCTCAGTTTGTTCGTCCCTCTTCTATTGTCGCTGGTCTCCCTTGCCCCGCCTATCATTTATCATTTCTCGTCATCTCCTCTCTGCCGTCCACCCCATGCGGTGCGGCGGGCTGCGGGGTGCCATGGCATGGCATGGCATGGCATGATGGCATGGCAGGAGGCGCGGCTGAAGGCATCAATGGAGGAGCATGAGGGAGACGGGAGGGCGCTGGAGGAGTGGAGGAAGTTCCTGCAGCGCACATGGCAGCTGCAGTCCACCGCCCTGGAGGCACAGGAGAAACGCCTCAAGTGCGTGCCCTGCTGGGTGCATGGATGCAGGGAGTGTGAAGCAAGGGTCATGCAGGGAGTGTGAAGCAAGGGTCATGGAGCGAGTGTCAAGCAAGGGTCATGGAGCGAGTGTCAAGCAAGGGTCATGGAGCGAGTGTCAAGCAAGGGTCATGGAGCGAGTGTCAAGCAAGGGTCATGGAGCGAGTGTCAAGCAAGGGTCATGGAGCGAGTGTCAAGCAAGGGTCATGGAGCGAGTGTCAAGCAAGGGTCATGGAGCGAGTGTCAAGCAAGGGTCATGGAGCGAGTGTCAAGCAAGGGTCATGGAGCGAGTGTCAAGCAAGGGTCATGGAGCGAGTGTCAAGCAAGGGTCATGGAGCGAGTGTCAAGCAAGGGTCATGGAGCGAGTGTCAAGCAAGGGTCATGGAGCGAGTGTCAAGCAAGGGTCATGGAGGGAGTGTGAAGCAAGGGTCATGGAGCGAGTGTGAAGCAAGGGTGATGGAGGGAGTGTGTTGAGTGATCCACAGTGCCATTTGCCTCGCCCACATGCAAGTTACATGTGACCCCCCATATGCACTGCTCCTGCGCACTCCCCCCCCCAAATGAATGGTTGCACGCCCACAGGGAGGAGGCGGCAGCTCGCATGGACCGACTCTTTGCCGCTGCCACATCGCATCTGCACCTCTGTCAGGTGGGCGCCTCTCAGGTCGGCGCCTCTCAGGTGGGCGGCTGCTCAAGTGGTAGCTGCTCATGTGGGTGGCTGTGGGATAGTACGTGGTGCCACACATCAGTGGCCGAAATTGCACGCTTTTTCTCCACACCGCATCTCCGCGTCTTGCTTTCCGACCCCACTCCCTCGTTCCGTTTGTGGCCCCTTGTCAAGCCAATCATGCCCGCCCCCATGTGCGGTGGCCACTGGCAGGCCCAGCTGGAGTCGTTCTGGGCCAAGGCCAAGGCAGTGGTGGGCACGCTGGAGGGCATCCATGAGAAGAGGTGAGCGCGCCATGTGCCATGCTGCCATGCTGCTGCTGCTGCTGCTAGCCATCACTCACAGGGCCGGCCTGTCACAACCCGGGCCGGCCCGGGCAAACCCCAGCCGAACCTACTGTTCTTACCATTATTATCGAGTTTGGTGGTTTTAGGGTTCCGCGAAGTATGAGAAAGGAAACAGCTTGTATATCTCCTGAAACACACTCACACGCAACGCGCTGATGAGGGCCAGCCCGCATCAAGCCGGAGCTTTGAAAAGCCTGGAACACCCGATCAACACAAGTGGTGCGAAACGGTCATGTGAGGTGCGAGTGGTGGGTGGCGTGTGAGAGTGGCGGGTGCGAGGGCACAGATGCAGCTGATCCGGTCATCTGTTCCTCTCCCCTGTGGCACGGGCGGCACATGGCAGGGCGGGCATGGTGGTGGACGGCATGGACGCGGTGGTGGCAGACATCTCGCTGCGCCGCCTGCACTGGGAGGAGCGCTTCATTGCTGCTCACATCCAGGTGGGCGGGCCGTGCCATGGCAGGCATTCTATGTTGATGAGTGCGACAGGGTTTGGTGGGGTTGGGGGGGTTGCAAAGTGGTGTAGCAGGGTCGGTGGGGCACATTGGGATGTGGGCGGGCAGCACAGCAGCCATGCGTGTCCCTTGAGCAGCACGTGTGTGTTGGCCGGCATGCACTCACGCCTTGCCTCTCATCATGCAACTTCCCACCCTCCCCTCCGTGGGGAAGCCTCCATCCCCCCAAGGCCCCCTCTGCTCCTGTGCGCCTGCCATGGCCTGCCATCGCCTCTCATCGCCCCTCACGTGTGTGCGCCACGCCCGCTATGCGGTGGGCAGGTGAAGCGGTGCATGGGGGAGGCGGAGCTGGCCCTCAAGGACGTGCGCGCCTGGATGGACTCCCTCGCCTCGCCCTCCCCGTACGCCCACCCCCCCTTCACCCCCTGCCATGCCTCTCGCACTTGCTTCGTATCTCACCATGCCAAAGCTTCATACCTGCTCGTTTGGACTTTAATGGGTCCTTCTCTAAGGTTCATTGCTCTGAGATTCATCCTACTCCTCCTCCACATCTCACCTCCCGTCCACTCTTGTCCCCACTCTTGTCCCCACTCTTGTCGCCACTCTTGTCCCCACTCTTGTCCCCACTCTTGTCCCCACTCTTGTCGCCACTCTTGTCCCCACTCTTGTCCCCACTCTTGTCCCCACTCTTGTCCCCACTCTTGTCCCCACTCTTGTCCCCACTCTTGTCCCCACTCTTGTCCCCACTCTTGTCCCCACTCTTGTCCCCACTCTTGTCCCCACTCTTGTCCCCACTCTTGTCCCCACTCTTGTCCCCACTCTTGTCCCCACTCTTGTCCCCACTCTTGTCCCCACTCTTGTCCCCACTCTTGTCCCCACTCTTGTCCCCACTCTTGTCCCCACTCTTGTCCCCACTCTTGTCCCCACTCTTGTCCCCACTCTTGTCCCCACTCTTGTCCCCACTCTTGTCCCCACTCTTGTCCCCACTCTTGTCCCCACTCTTGTCCCCACTCTTGTCCCCACTCTTGTCCCCACTCTTGTCCCCACTCTTGTCGCCACTCTTGTCCCCACTCTTGTCGCCACTCTTGTCCCCACTCTTGTCCCCACTCTTGTCCCCACTCTTGTCCCCACTCTTGTCCCCACTCTTGTCCCCACTCTTGTCGCCACTCTTGTCCCCACTCTTGTCCCCACTCTTGTCGCCACTCTTGTCCCCACTCTTGTCGCCACTCTTGTCCCCACTCTTGTCCCCACTCTTGTCGCCACTCTTGTCCCCACTCTTGTCCCCACTCTTGTCCCCACTCTTGTCCCCACTCTTGTCCCCACTCTTGTCCCCACTCTTGTCATCACTCTTGTCCCCACGTCTCGCCTCCCATCTCCCCTTTCACCATCTCCCCTACTTTCCTTCTTTCAGTGAATATACCTCTCGTCACCTCCACAGCAACGCCCTCACACCTGTTATGAGGGCTACAAGCCGCCCCACCCTCACCACTCATACACCAACCGCTGCCTCTCTCACTTCCCCCTTCTGCCATTCCCCTCTCCGCCTGGCCCCCCAGCGAGGACACGGCACGACTGAACGCACTGAGGGTGCGCGGGGTGGAGCTCGACGCCCTGCTCGCTGACATCCGTGCCGCCCCGCGCCCCGCCCTCTCCATCTCCCACCCCTCCGTGCTCCGCGTGCCACGCATCTCCCCTGCCTCGCCGCCCACCGCCACGGCACCTGCGGCGGCCACAGCAGCACCTGCCCCAGGCGCCACCTTCCCCGCCACCGTCGTCATTGCCCCCGTGGGCAGCGCCTCCTCCACCCTCAACGCACCTCCCCCTGCATCTGCCCTCGGGGCGGCAGGGCCGCGCCGGCCGTTCAAGCCGTCGCTGCAGATCGGAGGGGATGCGGTGGGCGGCATGGGCGGCGGAGCGCCGGAATCGCCCGAGGACGGCGCACCGATGACGCCGTTCGTGATCTCAGGCGGCATGCGCCGCCCGCAGGGAGGCGGGTTCCGCGACGAGCAGGGCCGGCTGAGACGCCCCGCGAGGAAACCCGGAGTGGCGTCGATTGCTGAGGGCGTGGAGGGGCCGGGTGACAAGGGCGGTGGGGAGGGTGGGCGACGGAGTAGTGAGGTTGAGCGTGATGAGGGAGTGGTCGGTGATGGGATCTCAGAGGGAGAAGCGGCTGAAAAGGCTGATTCCGAGGCAGAAGAGAGGAAGGAAAGTGCGGAGGGCAAGGTGACATGGTGAGGAGAAGGCTTCATCACCAGCCTTCTGTGGCTGCCATGTGCAAGCAAACACGTGCGTGGATATTGGTGTGCTTTGTGTGTTCTTATACTGGGCTAATATAGTAATACAGGCAATTAACGAGGCAACCAAGCATCTCAAGACATTTTATCTGACGCCAACTAAACCTAGTTTGAGGAGATTTGCATGACACCGCTTTTGAGGTTGACATTTCAACTTCTACAAATCACTCTGCCTAAGGGTTTGCCTGATACAAGGCGTAGGAACACGCCCTAGACCCACAGATGCTGCAAAACGTTCATTGTGACTGTTATTCGGTTTTCCCATGCTGGACATGCACACTCTCTATACGTCAGCCGGGAATCGAACCCGGATCTTTTGCTTGGAAGGCAAATATCCTAACCATTGGACTACTGACGTTATGATGATAGCCAGTAAGACGCGATAACAATTGGAAAAATCATCAAGAGAAAACCTGTCATATCTGCTGATATCGGCTTTTCTTGTGGCTCTTCTTGTTACGCGACGACTAACTCTGGTGCTTGTCAGCCATTATCAAGGTTCCTTGTTATAAAATATCAAGATCCCACAATAGTTTAATTAGCAACGACACGCAACAATGCATTTATTTCGAATATTCCACAAGGTCCTCCCAAGGTTTCTTCCTCGAGCACTCTCACCAACTCCAGGAGTGTCTTGGGAATGATAAAAACAACCAGATACTTAACAAGGCTGTGCTCAGACTTCAGGCAGTACAAGCTTCATCAGCCACTCGCTGTGGCTTGCCTGGAACTCATTATTGCACGATGGATCATCCTAAGGGTCAGCTCTCTAGGCTTCCTGCTTGCGTGCTCGCCAATGGCGTCACCAACTCGCCTATTGATCTACGCGCTCACCAACGGCGTCACCTGGAGGATTCGTGTTATCCGTGAATGACAAGGCAACATCGTCAATGACTCCGACCGATGATGACGGTTTCATCAACGACGACTTAGACGACGAGATGTTGGTTGATCTTGACCTGGAAGCTGCTCACCGGCTGCGTACCATAGTCGTCTTGATGCTGCCTTTTATCCTTGCACAGTAAGTTGTGTCATTGAAGCGATTAAAAATCCTAATGAAACGTGGTTGGTACACAGAGTTATCAGAATATCTGCTGACGACGGTGAAGTTCCGGGAGCTGCAGTCAGCATACATCGCCCAAGACCCATTACTGCCCTCTGCAGATTTTGTTCATCTCGGAAGCTGACGCGGAACATGTCAAAAGAAAAGAGGTGGTGTATCACCTGCTGAACGGCAATCTGGTTAAGCTTCATCATCAACACACGGAAAACCTCACATTTGCGCGAGAAAAGGCGCTTAACCCAGACGCAATTGAAGTCGTACTCGAGGGAGTCTCTGCAACTGTGGAGCTGACCATGATCACAACTGACTGTGTACCTACCATCTAAAGAACCTGTCAAACATATACTTGTTCTATTTGTGTAGGCTATAGTGGGTTAGCCTTCTAGGGGGTACACTACTCTAGGTTTGTAGTACTTGTACTCCCATTCTCCTGCTAGTCAATCATTCTCATTCTCTCTTAGATTCTGACATGGTATTACGAGCCTAGGTCGTAACCTAGGACCGAACGATAGGGCCCACCGTTTTCGCATAGTCGCGCCCTAGCGCGCCTCGCCAAGTCGCGCCCTCGAGCGCCCTCCTCTCTCCCTCACTATCGCGCGCCCTAGCGTGCCTCTCGTGATCGGCCCCGCCTAGCCCGCACGCCCTAGCGTGCCCCATGCGACCGGCCCCGCCTTCCTCACACGCCCTCGCGTGCGACCCGTGCAGCCCCACGCGCGTAGCTTGCCCCGCACGCGCCCTTGCGTGCCTCGTGCGGCCCCGAGCGCTAGCTGCCCCACGCGCCCGTGCGCGCTCCTTACGAACCGGCCCCGCCTACCCGCGCGCCCTTGCGTGCCCCGAGCGACCGGCCCACACCGACCCGCGCGCCCTTGCGTGCCCCTCGCGTACCGGCCCCGCCCCGCTAGCCCGCCCTTGCGTGCCCCGTGCGACCAGGCCCCGCCCCGCTAGCTCGCCCTTGCGTGCCCCGTGCGACCAGGCCCCGCCCCGCTAGCCCGCCATTTCGTGCCCTGCGCGGACCGGCCCCGCTCTGCCCTGCACGCCCTCGCGTGCCCCACCTCGAGTAGCCGCCGCCTAGCCGAGCCGAGCCGCCCCACCGAACCGAGTCGCCCGGCCCGAGCCGCGCCGCCCTACCGAGCCGCGCCGCCTTACCGAGCCGCGCCGCCCTACCGAGCCGCGCCGCCCTACCAACCCTTGCGGGCTGCCCTAGCCCGTCGAGTCGCCCCAGCCGAGCCGCCACTGCAGCAGCCGCCCCTGGCCCCTGGAGCAGCCGCCACTGCAGCAGCCGCCCGTGGCCCCTGGAGCAGCCGCACCTACAGCCGCCCCTGGACCCTGGAGCAGCCGCCACTGCAGGAGCCGCCCCTGGCCCCTGGAGCAGCTGCCGTCGCGGCCCGACCCCGCACTGTAGCGGCCCCGCTGTCGCCGCCGCCTTAACGCCTGCCCTTCCCACCACTGGTGAGCACTGCCCTGCCCGCGCTGCTACCGCTGCTACTGCTGCTACTTAACTTACTGCTTTTACTGCTCCTGCTGCTACTGCTGTTACTGCCGCTACTGCTGCTACTACTGCTGCTCCTGGCGTGGCCAGATGCAGCTCCACAGCCGTCCGCGTGTGTCCCTCACGCCCCAGCAGCTTCGTGAGTGGTACGCCAGCTGGGGTTGTCGGGGTGGCCGTAGTGGGAGTCGTCCTGGAGTGGGTAGTTCGGGAACTTCTTGTAGTGGCCCGGTGCAGCAGCAGTGTCGTCCGCGCGACCCACTTTCGCCCCAGCAGTTTCGTGAGTGGTACGCTCAGAGTAGAGGGTCGCTGAGTACTGCTCGCTGCCCGTACGTTATTAGCACGGGTGCCTGGACTGGTCAGCCTTGCGGGACGCGTGGTCACACAGAGTCCCACTGCTTCGCCCGTCTGAGTGACGCTTGGTGTACAGAGTTTGGCGACGACGCTGAGCTCCCCGACTGGGTGGAGCTGCTTGGACAGAGGGTAGATATCTTTGCTCTTGCCTATGATGCTATTCTCACTGCAATGTATGCATTGTCTACTAGTGCCGAGGGAGCC